TGACAACAATAGCTTTGCTAGAGCATTTTATTAGCACAAATATTGTCCAAGTCAAGTTGTGCCGCAGTCTTCATGATTTACTGACATGTTTACGTGAATCTTGATACTTCTAAGGAATAATACTTTTAGGTTCATATAGTTTTATAAAGTGAGTAATACGTATCTATATGTAACTGTAATATCAAATGCGACAAAATATGTAGTCATTAATTAAAAGAAATTATTTTCATATTACCAAAAATATCCTTTGTATATCAGACAATGTAGTAATTAATTTGGAAGATATACATTTAGATGGCAGTAACCCCTTTGACCCTTGCTGCCCACAACCGCCATTTAATACTTGCCATGGGAATTTGAACGGAATTAGTTAAGTCATACAACCTATTTATAAAAACATGTTTAGAAACAAAAATAATTGCGTATAATATTTTTTCATAATATGTTCTCATTATAATTTCAAACATTAGCTAGCAATTTTCAATTTATCATTACCATAAAGAAGTACATAATATTTGGAGAAAAACTAATAATGAGTATAACATTGATTTTGCAGTTTTAGCAGGAAATATCAATAGATAAAATAGAATAGTTGCGGTAACATTTTCTAATCTCAGAACTCGTGCTGTCACTCGAAAAGAAAAAGGTTTGTCATTGTCCTGGTACGTGCTTAGGAACGGCTCTTATATCTACAAAAGAATTGTTATTAGGGCTATTATGACCGTACAAATTTTTGTTCTTTGATAAAGCAATTACTACGTACATATATGACATAAGTTTTTACATATTTTTTTATATTTTGTATATTCATCCTGTTGTCCGAGGACAATAAGTACAAAAAGTAAAAATAAACAAACAAAACATAAGCAAAACAAAAAGTAGTTTCTTAAATTATGTCATGATTTTCTCGGCCGTTATTTCAAGATACTGCATCAAATGAAAATATTTGTTATAATCTTTTAGAGCGGCAAGTTATAATACTAGCTCTAATGCCTCAGAGAGAAACCATTATTCTACTCTATGTATAGTTTTTATCATAAAAGCATATCATAAATGATAATAACAAACTTATCTCAATCACTAATATATAATAATACTCGTACATAATTGATATCGTATGAGCGAAGAACCAGTGATATTCAATATTTAACAGCGCCATCTATTACAAAATACTTTAATTATACAGGAACCACCATCAAGGAAAACCACCTTTTTGCTGATCTAAGATCAGCATTACTCGAGAACGGACGGACTGAATGAAGTTCAATGTTTTTCTTGTACAAATAATATTATCTACAATAATTTAATTTAGGATTAATTTCATTTTTACATACATTTTGATTGTCGTTGTACAAACTAACATGTATAAAACGAAGTAATGTATATGAGTTGCAGATTTAATTGAAACAAGCTTTAAGCAGTACTAGCTAAATATAATAATATTAACATATAAAATGATAGAGAAGACAAAGTCTGAATACAACATAATATAAAGCTAAAATATTTATAATTTTAAGAATGTCTCAGTCCGACTCTCGATTCTGTGACGAGGCTAATCTACCCTCTTTTCACTGTTGTTCCGCAGCTTAATTAACGAACCACCCTTAGCACCAAAAGGTAGGCCTTATCTCGGCCGTCAGACACCGATGAAATCCGCGACAGCGAATTGTGGACATAAAATCTCTTTATTCAACTTCTCCGAGATCTTTAGGTTATTATTTTGCAAAAGTAAAATGAAATATCTATAGAATTCACGAATTATTTGACAAAATTGTTAACTGATAAAAAATATTCTAAATTACAGATTAATTAGAGACAGGTGTCTAAAAATATTTTATAACCATTTGTTTCTAAATGACATGACGCGAGAGGGGTTTTATTGAAATATTTTATGAAAAATCTAGTATTAGCATTAAAATTTTAAATAACTTTACTCTTAATGTTGCAACGATAAGAAAGGTACATTAAAAAGGTCTGGTGTGACAACAAATCTAAAGGAAAAATCTCCGCCTCTGAGAGCCCAACGGTGATAAACGAGAAAAACTTTCGAACTAAATGGAGCATTCGAGATGGCGGAGCTACGTTGCTCTCGTAGAATAATACTTCTCCCGGAGAAATAACACTTATAGTCCACGAGGCTTAAAATCAAATGTCTGCGTTCCTATTCGGAGTTTCAAGGGAACGGTTCTGGTATCTTGAGCGATGGTGACAGAAATAAATGTCAATTTTCATGTCAAACTTTAAAATTTATACTCGAAAGGTTTTTCTCACTTTAAAATTTTATTTTGTCATACATTTTAAAACTAAACAGGTCAGATATAAATTTCTTTGTAATTGCATACTTACATACGTTTTAAAAAGCGACGAAATTAATTACGTGCACATAACATACCTAGAAACAAAAGAAGAATTCTGTTAAAATACACATCTTGAATAAAATAGTAATTAATATATAATCTATAACAATTAATAAGCGAGTTTTTAAAATAATTTACTTTTGATCGCTTTGTTATTAACTTTCAAATTCGTTGTACTCCAATTACATATATTTTTTTAAATTTACACGTATTATTTATTATAAGTGTTGTGTCCCTAATAAAACTTCGAGATATTCCTTGCTTATATTATTATATTCAGTACTTTTATAAACGTCAGTGAGTTACATAATTTATAATCAAAATTTTCAATATTACAAACAATTCGTAATGACCTACACGGTGGTACCGACATCTCTGCGCAAAAGCGCGGGAAAACAAATGAATATCCGCGCCCATTTTAATTTTTTTTAAAACACATTCCTATCGGCCAAGGTCACATAAGGAAATGCCTTATACATAAATCATAACAAATTAATCAAATATATTATTTTCTATTAAAACACTCAATATATAAAAATTCAACCTTACATAAGATATAAATTATGATATACATGATCGTAGGTACCTTAAATACAAGCAAGGCTTTAAACATAATTGAGGTAAGAGTCGATAATTTAAAAAATAATCAGACCCTGACATGAATGAATACAATCAAGCGGCCCTGGAGACAATACATACTGCCGAAACAAAAATATGTTATACGAATATAATTGTTGCTTTGTACCTGATAATCACACTCCTGATACAAATTTATATTTGAATGTACATTTAATAATTTATATTTTAGGGCACATTTATACAAATATCATATATGTATAATATTAATATTGCGTTCTAAAAGGCATATGTTTTTTTAAGATAATATCTAAATAGATCATTTAATGACTTACTATCACATGTAAGAATTTACAATATAATAATTATACAATAAATGTAATATAGGGATAGAAAACATGAGAAAAGTGGTGCATAGGCGATAATATCGCGGATAAGTGGCGGCGATCGGCACGTGCGCCGCGTCGAGTGCAACGCCTGTGTCAGCGGGTGACAGGCGAGCGCTATACGCCAAAGAGCTACATCGTCAATTACGTGATTGACAAGTTAACCGACCGTGCTCCGGACACGACGCATTGTGACGCATTGACAGCGCAATAAAATCCAAATCGTACGTCACTGTTTGCTGAATGCAAACTTTTGTATGACAGTTACATGGATCATTACTTAAATTCGTAAAATTTCAACAATGAATTACATTTTTGTAATCACCATACGCTACATTAACTACAAAGTGTGAATTCATCGCAACCTGTGGCATTCTTTTTGGCGAAAAGTACCGCTCAAATAAATGGATATCATTATGGAGGTAATGGAGGAAACTTAAGTTCCATTCAAATTTCAGATAAGCAGTAAGAACAGTTATACTCCAGGAGCTTCGGTAGAAAAAACATACTTTTATGAAGCTCGTGAAAACAAATTTTACTTAGTGGGCAATATCATAATGGAACAGGGTTACTTCGAGTATATCCAGTGGCTGCATTGAATCCGCGCAGTGCTCTGGTGCTAACCGCTACTTTTCTATTATGCGGGTATATTGCTTTTAAATAGGTAAATATTACATTGGTTTAATTAATTTATATAAAAAACCTAAAATATGTATTATCTTATTGTCTTGTTTTACATAACAAGATATATATTGAACATTGTTTGAAATTAAATGCACATTAAATAATTTTTCTATCCTACCTTGGAAATGCAGCGTGATGATAACATAACCTTTTATATACATTTAAAAGAATAAATATAAAAAGAAGTTGGGTAAAATAATTTAAAATTTAAATTAAGGATAACGAGAAAGGAAACTCAATTATTTCCTTTTTTTTAGTCTCGTCCCAAAAGACATGAATCACGATAGGGTGACTTGGCAGAAAGTAAAACAGAGAAACGTTGTAGAGACCGTAGAAGTGATTTCATTTGAACAAAGTTTCTCTCTATCAACGAAATTCAGAGTGTAATTTGCGAGCAGGGAAAAGTTTCACCTTATCACAGAATTCCACGTGGAGTGTTTTGTTGAAATTTCTAATTTCATTCACTTCAGCTTTTATTTTGTTTTTATTTACTACCATATTGTATCGTATTAGTATTACATATAATGGCGCTCGTATGTCATCAGTGTAGTATGTATTAAAACCACAATTGTGTTTCAAGGACAACGTGTCTTTATTTGAAGAAATTAAATGTTAAAGATGTTTTTGATTAAAATACTTAATTATAATAAAATAAAAGTCCATTAAAAATACATCAAATGTTTTGTCAATTATAGCCCAGTGCGATTCTGCGATTTTATTAGACACAAAAAATATTTGAAATTTATTTTTCTAGTAACTAGTAAATTTAGGCTCTAATTTATATATTTTAAACATATCTTCACTCTCTATTTTATATGGGGGAAATCTGAGGGGAAGTGAATGTACAAGTACTTAACTCGTAGTGCATGCCTTCCGTCGAGGGATCGTTTCTTAAAACCAAATACTTCATTTCTTAGTCAATAATTACTTTCTTGTGTATATTTTGATATATAAACAGCGTATAATAATGAAAAGAATTATAAATAATGTTGATTTATAATGTCATGAAGTCAAAAAAGTCAATAAGTAAAATCGAAAGCAAATTATCGGGGTTATAGAGGCTGCAGATGTTAGTGGCACGTCCCGTAACGAATGGAACGCGGCGTAGCTCAGCCCGTAGCCGCCCGTCGCCCGCCGCCTGCCCTCGTAGCACTCGTAATTGGAAAGGCGCTACGTGGCTACGATTGCTAAGCGCCCTATCATTAGCGTCACTCACAATTTTGCTAGTGTGATAAAACAACACTTTAATAAACATATAATTTTAAGACGGGGAAAATAAGAACACACGAAAACAACTTAATAAGCTTTATCTTCTCAATTTTCTACTATGTAAGTTTTATAACAACACTTTACTCCTTTTGTTTCTATACAAAATAGCACAATTAAATGTAATTTTAACAATCACTTAATATAACTACTTTTTACTTAATCACCTTATCTCTTTAGTTTTTACACGGACAAATTCACCACTATTTTTTAAATTAAATAAGCTTGACAGCGTAATACAAATAATACTTATCTTCGATCGTGCGTAACTCCTCTCAAAAACTAAACTTCCCAACGGTTATCACAAGTTTTTATTCCAATCAGCCGGAAGTGATATTTTAATTAAATATTTATAAAAACGTCCTAAAATTCAGTTCAATATTCCTATTTTACAGTTCCATTTTATTAAACAAAAATAACAATATTTCAGAATTTTAGATTTAGTAATATAATTTTCCAAATTATTAACTTCATACAATTAGGTTTATGTCCAGACTTGATATCACAAAATAAGTAACTAAAAATTAAATTCAAATATATTAATAAAATAAATTTTAAGATATTAATTGTTACATTATTATATTCTTGCAAGATTCATATTTTAATGAAAGTAATAACCTCAATTGACTTCGATCAACAATCCTGCTGTTGATCGAAGTCAATTAACATTCCATTTTTAATTTTAAAGTAATCAAGTTATTTCCTATTATATTAATTTATTATTAAGGATTTTAATTAAACTGTTATTGATAATTTTTAATATTATAAATTATTTTTAAATTGAAGACCTCGTAAGCCAGCTTAACAATTCGTCCATCCTGACGATTATTTGCGTCCCTGCAAATGAGAGAAAAGTTAATTGTTTCACATCTTATCTTTTGCCTTTGTAGACACACGAATATATACACATTCTTTTTAATACTTTTAACTTTTGATAAGGACCTTTCTATTTAACTTTTTTACAAATTACGTTTCAAAAGACGAAAAATAATATGACATTAACATATTTTATTTCTATTCCAATAAATTATATCAAAATAATCCATATATTGTTGCCACGGCTATACTTTATATAACAAATCTAATTAAGATTCGTGACTCAATAATATTAGTTTTTTTTTTTTTTTTTTTTAGCTAATAATGAGCACATCACCACTAAACTATTGGTGGCCCGTCATCACCAAACTATTGGTGGCCCGTCAACACCAAAACTATTGGTGGCCCGTCAACACCAAAACTATTGGTGGCCCGTCAACACCAAAACTATTGGTGGCCCGTCAACACCAAAACTATTGGTGGCCCGTCAACACCAAAACTATTGGTGGCCTGTCAACACCAAAACTATTGGTGGCCCGTCAACACCAAAACTATTGGTGGCCCGTCAACACCAAAACTATTGGTGGCCCGTCAACACCAAAACTATTGGTGGCCTGTCAACACCAAAACTATTGGTGGCCCGTCAACACCAAAACTATTGGTGGCCCGTCAACACCAAAACTTTTGGTGGCCCGTCAACACCAAAACTTTTGGTGGCCCGTCAACACCAAAACTATTGGTGGCCCGTCAACACCAAACTATTGGTGGCCTGTCAACACCAAAACTATTGGTGGCCTGTCAACACCAAAACTATTGGTGGCCCGTCAACACCAAAACTATTGGTGGCCCGTCAACACCAAAACTATTGGTGGCCCGTCAACACCAAAACTTTTGGTGGCCCGTCAACACCAAACTATTGGTGGCCCGTCAACACCAAACTATTGGTGGCCCGTCAACACCAAAACTATTGGTGGCCTGTCAACACCAAAACTATTGGTGGCCCGTCAACTTTTTTTTTTTTTTTTTGCACTATTTGTTCCTTAGATTTTATATTATCTCATAACGTACCTATTATCATTATCCCTCCAAAAGGTCAACAAGTTCCTCGGTGCTGTTAACACTTGAGTCACTTGAACCTGTGTCACTGTCCGCTTCATTTACCAATTTTCGTAGAACATCACTTGAAACTGTCGCATTAAACTTTTTATATCCCTTGATACCTTTTAAAGCCGTAATAATGTATCTATCATTTCCAAGACATTTCTGTATTTTATAGGGTCCACTAAATTTTTCTTTAAGCTTTCGTCCTACATCCTTTGAACTGGCCTCTGATTTCTGCCAAAGTACTAAGTCACCAACTTTGTGCTGAACTGGTTTCTTTCGTTTGCTATCAAACCTTTTCTTCATTTCTACTGCCTTCTTTTCAATATTCTTTTTAGCCCTCTCACAATTTTCTTGGGACTCTTGTTCGTTCTCTAAAGTATTTTCTCCCATACCTTGTAACAAGCCACGTTTAGACTTAAACATTAATTGATATGCGCAAAACCCCGTAGTAGAATTTATTGTATTGTTGATACCCCAAACAATTTTACCTAAACAAGCGTCCCATTCTCTTTCTTCTTTAGTACTTTTGTTGATCGCTTCTATAATTGTTCTGTTAAATCTTTCAACTTGTCCATTGGATCTTGGTGATGCAATGGCGTTTTTAACGTGTTTAATCTGATGCTCCAAGCAAAATTCTTTAAAAGATTTGCTGGTAAACGCTGAACCGCTGTCCGATATTATACGAGTTGGGTATCCAAATTCACAGAAAATTTCGGAGAGTTTTTCAATTACTTCAACAGATTTTGTTGACTTACATGGTTTTGCCCACACAAACTTTGTAAAAGCATCCACAATTACAAACAAGTATGAGTAACCCTTATGACTCTTGCAGAATGGTCCTACATGATCGATGTGTAATGTATGAAGCGGTACACACTTTTTCTCAATAGGGTGTAGCTGTCCTTCTAGCTTACCATACTGTCCCCGTTTATATACACAATCTATACAGTTATTGACGTATTTCCTGATAAACCTGGTCATTTTAGGAAACCAACAGTTTTCTTTGATAAGGGTCTCGCAACGTTTCAACCCAGGATGCCCTATATCATCATGATATTTACGAAGAACATTCCATCTTGCGTGTTTAGGTACTGCCAGGCGAAGCTCATCGTTTAAACATTTTCGGTAAACTTTATTATCCTTAAGAATATAGTTATTCCTTACATCCGGATCGTCGTCATTCTTTTCTAGTTTTTCTCTGATTATTCGTAGTTTACAGTCTTGATTTTGTAAGCATACAATCCAATCGAGCAAGTCAAGTACCAATACCTCCGATGTTTCTGGCGAGTCTACCGGTGCACGGCTTAAAGCATCTACGTGTTTATGGGATATACCTGGCCTGTGAATGACAGTAAAGCTATATTCTTGGATCTGTAACCACCATCTTGCAATTCTGGGCAATAAATCCTTTTTCTTAAAGGTTTCTCTTACAGCAGCACAGTCTGTCACTACCTTAAACTCGATTCCTGCTAAATAAATCCTAAATCTCTTTAACGATTCTACCACGGCCAGCGTTTCCAACTCGTAGGAATGGTACATAGCTTCTTCTTTCGATGTTTTCCTACTAAAGTAAGCTATAGGTTTCATTTCATTGTCGTGTTTTTGTAGAAGAATTCCTGCTAGCCCTCTACTGGATGCATCAGTGTGAACTTCTGTTTCCGCCTTATGGTTGTATAAGGCTAGCAGAGGTCGAGATGTTAAAATATCTTTTAAATTGTTAAAAGCCAACTGTTGCTTTTCGGTCCAAATCCATTCTTGTCCCTTTTTTAAAAGAAAGTATAAGTCATAGCATATGATAGCATAATTACGTACGAATTTTCTGAAATAGCTTGTTAATCCTAAGAACATTCTTAATTCATGCACATCAGCAGGAATTTTAAACTTAGATACTGCCTCAATCTTCTTTTGTCCCGGTCTAATCCCATTTCCACTGATCTCATATCCTAAGTATTGAATTTCTGCTTGCAAAAATTTACATTTTTCAATATTCAATGTGAGTTTTGCGTCTCTAATAATATCAAAAACAGTACGTAATGTCTTTAGAGCTTCATCTTCATTAATAGATGCTATAAGTAAGTCATCCATATATGGTAGTACTTGGTCAAACCTTAAGGATCCAAGAACCGTATCCATTAATCGTTGGTAAACACTTGGAGAGTTAGCGAGTCCAAAGGGAACTCGCAAAAATTCGTAGTGTCCCTCTGGGGTCACGAATGCGGTCTTCTGGATAGCGTCTTCCTGAAGTGGTATTTGATAGAACCCCTGTGACATATCAAGACTAGTAAATACCCGTTTCCCACTTAGTTTTTCTATATGTTCTTCAATTATCGGTAGAGGATATTTATCCTTTATAGTAATACTGTTCAACTTACGATAATCAACACATAAGCGGTGATCACCATTTGGTTTTCGCACTAGAATAATCGGGCTAGAATATGGTGAGCAGGACTCTCTGATGATATTATTGTCTAGAAGATCCTTTATTTTATCTCTCACTATTGCTTTCTCAGGTAATGATAAACGATAAGGGCGGTAGCAGACTGGTTTGTCACTACTAAGGTGTATTTCCATTTTGATTTTATCTGTGCATCCTAATTCACTTGTCGAAGAGGAAAAACAATCCGTGTATTCTTTTATTAATTGTTCTAATTTTTCTTTTATGTTCATATTCTTCGTGTCACATTGAATCTTCTTAAAATCGACTGATAAAATATTCACGTGTTTCTCCTCTACTTTCTTATATGCAGAAGTCATCCCAGACCATTTGTCACCTCGGGCTAGAAGATCCTTTTCTTCGAGTAATAGTGGATGACGTGAATTATTCTGCACATTTATTATTCCAGATTCACCGCTCAGCATAGTTGCAGGAATAGTATAATCTCTGACTTCATTGCGACATGTTCTGTTTTCTATGAAGACATAATCTTCTGGTCTAGCGTTTTCTATACAAGTCTCCACAATCATTTTGCTCAATGGGGGTACTATTGTATCCTGTTTACAAAAAATTTCCACTCGTTTCTCAGTCGGAAAGTCTTCAATAAGAAAAACTTCAGGTAAAGCTTCTTCTATAGTTAAATTCGTACCATTAACAATAAATCTTATCCTTGGATTGTTTATGATTGGTTGTCCAAGTATAAGTTGAATATTACGTAATTTTAAGTCAACAATTGTCAACGTTGTTCGAAAAAGAATGTTATTAATTTTTATATCTACGTCAGCTAACCCTTGCGCTTTGACATATCTACCTCCAAATCCACCAATACTCATGTCGCATGATTTTAAGTTAAGACCTAAGGATTTTGCGATTTCGGGACACGCGGCATTGATTTTAGCACCTGAATCTAAATAAGCTAACATGCGTACTTCATTAACGTGGACAGGAATAAAGTATGTCCTATTTACCTCGTTTGTTATATAGTTGACCGACGAGGATGCTGAATCTTTATTTACTTCATATTTCTTGAAAATACATTTTCCAGTTGGATGACCATTTTTCCCACAATTAGAGCATCGATTTTTGTGACAACGTCTTGATGTATGTCCAGCTCCACCGCACGTATAGCATGTGATAGGGTCCTTGGCATTTCTGGTAGCAAAATATTCTGTAGCACTTGTTTTTCCAGTCTCGTTCCTTGTGAAATTATTCTTTGCTCTGCTATCTTCCATAACGCATAAAAAGGATGCGTGCAGGTCAGTTGGAGTCTTATAATTCCCGGCTCGAGCAGGTGCTCTTAGGAACGCGGGCAACCCATCGATGATGCAAGCGACTGCTTTGTCTCCGCTTATTTCTAGCTTAGTTAACATTGCATTCTTTTGATAAAAATAATGAGTCATCGTTTCATTTAAAGTTTTTCTTCTTGATAACATTACACGAAGGGATTCAGGATAATCTATAATACTAGGGAATGCCTTCATAAATTCGTTTTTCCATTCCTCCCATGACAAGTCGTACCTTGGAAGAGAAGAGTGCCAAATTCGAGCCATGCCCCCTAATCGAGATTGCATATGGTAGCTTTTAGTAGCGTCAGACCACTGATGTATCTTTCCAAGTTGCTCTATTTTGGCCAACCATTGATATGAAAACACGTCAGAACTTTCAGGATCAAATATGGGTATGATTTCTGCGCGTGAAGCCACTTGGTCAAGGTAAAATGGTTGGATCTTACCAGAATTTAGATTACTGTTCGATGATGCAAGCCTTGATACCGCCTCTGCGGTATTCGAAGTATCAGCTATAGGACTGGCCGGGGCTGGTGTTGCTGGATGCTGGGAGCGCCAAGGCCGGCATCGTTTTTCTGGCGGTATTTCTTCGACTTCGAAGGACTCGGAATGGCGGTGATGTTTCGGCATCCCACTTCTGAAAATGATAAAACAACACTTTAATAAACATATAATTTTAAGACGGGGAAAATAAGAACACACGAAAACAACTTAATAAGCTTTATCTTCTCAATTTTCTACTATGTAAGTTTTATAACAACACTTTACTCCTTTTGTTTCTATACAAAATAGCACAATTAAATGTAATTTTAACAATCACTTAATATAACTACTTTTTACTTAATCACCTTATCTCTTTAGTTTTTACACGGACAAATTCACCACTATTTTTTAAATTAAATAAGCTTGACAGCGTAATACAAATAATACTTATCTTCGATCGTGCGTAACTCCTCTCAAAAACTAAACTTCCCAACGGTTATCACAAGTTTTTATTCCAATCAGCCGGAAGTGATATTTTAATTAAATATTTATAAAAACGTCCTAAAATTCAGTTCAATATTCCTATTTTACAGTTCCATTTTATTAAACAAAAATAACAATATTTCAGAATTTTAGATTTAGTAATATAATTTTCCAAATTATTAACTTCATACAATTAGGTTTATTTCCAGACTTGATATCACAAAATAAGTAACTAAAAATTAAATTCAAATATATTAATAAAATAAATTTTAAGATATTAATTGTTACATTATTATATTCTTGCAAGATTCATATTTTAATGAAAGTAATAACCTCAATTGACTTCGATCAACAATCCTGCTGTTGATCGAAGTCAATTAACATTCCATTTTTAATTTTAAAGTAATCAAGTTATTTCCTATTATATTAATTTATTATTAAGGATTTTAATTAAACTGTTATTGATAATTTTTAATATTATAAATTATTTTTAAATTGAAGACCTCGTAAGCCAGCTTAACAAGTGTTAATGAATCACACCTCATAAAATGACACCATTTCATATTTTTTATAATTATTCTTATCCAATTATTTTTAAGACAAGTAATTTTATATTCTATAATAATGTCAAATTATGCGAGACAATTTAGTTGTTTTAAGAGGGCAAAAAGTTAAAAACAAATTACTAAAAATAATATTATAGTTGACCTTATTTTTGCTGCGTAATTAAACAATTGGGGGCAAGAAGGAAGATTGGCATAGCAGTTTATGTGACGATTAGTGAGCGGAGAACGCAGAAGGTTCGGCCGTTCAATTTGCCGGTTCACTTGACACAATTCGACGCCTGACTCGGGGACAATCGCACTCCAAGCCCCGTCGACCTCCTTATCTCCCGTCGAGGTAATCTTTCCTTCCCTCGGCGGCAATAACTCCAAGTGGGCAGGATTACCTGCAAAGGGGCTTCGCAAGGCAACCACCTTTACAAAGGTTATCGATTTAAACAATGCGCGTTGATCTATTTGTTACTATTTTATTAGTTTATGCATAATAGTAAAACAAACTAAATATTAAGGATATGAAGTTATAATTTAGTTAATCACGATATCTTCATTGAATATTTAAGCGCAGATTTCTAAAATTAAATAATCATAATTTAAATGCTAAATGAAAGATGTACATCAATTAAAAATTTGTATTCAGCACTTTTTAACGTCCCACTGCTGGGCACGGGCCTCCCTTCAATACGAGGGGGATCAGGCCATAGTCAACCACGCTGGCCAAGTGCGGGTTGGCGGACTTCACATGTCTTTCGAAAACTTGCTAGGTTCTCTCAGACATGCAGGTTTCCTCACGATGTTTTCCTTCACCGTAAGGCAAGTGGTAATCATGTTAGAAATGATTCGCACATGAAAATATCAGAGGAGCAAGACCGGGGTTTGAACCCGCTTCACTCGGTGTCCCAAGAGAGCGTGTTACCACTGGGCTACCACTGCCTTAATTAAAAAGTTAATAACTTAAAATATACATATATATATATATATATATATATATATATATATATATATATATATATATATATATATATATACACACATATTAATATACCCTAACTAAAGCTATCTAAACTCAGAAAGCATTTCGAAATAAAGACTGTAAATTGAACTCAGCTTCATAATGAAAAAAAGTATAAGGAATTAACATACATACATTGTTACTGTTTGCGGCTCTTATATTACAAATAATAAATAAAACTTTGACGAGGTTTAAAAGATTTCAGAGTAGATTTTGATCGCAGGTAGAGTAAATTGACACTAGTCCATCTGTTAGAATAAAAATATATTTACGAGTATGTTAAAAATACACGCGAGTTAAATTACAGTTTTTCTTATTTTTTGATTTACGCGAATATCTACGTATATAAAAAATCGGAAAATATTGAGTTTTAAATAGCTAAAATAAAAGTTTTTTATATTTGTAATTTTTAGTATAGAAATTATTTAAGTTCTGTACTAATAATAAAAATAAATAAAATATTTCACTAAATATACTGCAAGTATGTAATTATAAGCTACAATACTACAATTATAAGCTAACACGATTGAAAAAGTACAAAGAAATGTTTTTTATTTGAAATTTTCAATTCTCGAATAAAAAATATCTTTGCTAACTTATATTTTAACTCGCTCCGTTCTCGTTTTGCGCATGCAAACCAAATTACACGGTCAACGACAACTTCTACTATAACTTGAGTCCGCTTTATGAACGCGACTTAGTTTTAAACATAGCTATAGACTAAGCAATGGAACTATAAAAACCTTTTTGAATTTTTGTTTTATATTTTACGGAGCGGCGTATTGAAAATACATTAACATTAGTGTATACAAGCTATTTGTTTTCGCTTTTCAACCGACTTCAAAAAGGAGGAGGTTCTCAATTCGACTGTATTTTTTTTTTAATTTATGTTTGTTACCTCAGAACTTCGTCATTTATTAACCGATTTGGACAATTTTTGTTTTGTTTGAAAGGGTATACTTCCAGATTGGTCCCATTTAAATTTCAATAAAAAACACCACTCCTAAGGGTGGAAAAATAGCTAATGATGAATTTAACCTACTTCTAATTGTCATATTGACTTGAAACTTTGCAAGTGTTTCCATTTCCGTTGATAGTACAGTGGTTCGGTATTGTTGACCTGATCTGATGGTAAGGCCAGAAGATGGATAGATGGAACTCTTCAACGGCTAATAGTAGATACTTTGAGTTTGAGCTTATTTTGTTTGATTTGACAAGCCTAACACGTTAGAATTCTTACTTTGCTACTACTGTCTACACTAAAAAGGGAAAAATAAAAACTTTTTAACAAAAAAATAAAAACCGACTTCAAACAAAAGCACTAAAAAGTAAAAAATAACTGATTGGTAGTTTTCATTTACTATACATACCTAATCAAATATTTTCGAAGTCGGTGTGCTTTGCTTTGATGGGCTGGCACCGATTTCGAAAATATTTGATTAGGTATGTATTTAATAGGTAGGCTTTAATTACTTAGCCAAAGCACACCGACTTCGAAAATATTTGATTAGGTATGTATAGTAAATGAAAACTACCAATCAGTTATTTTTTACTTTTTAGTGCTTTTGTTTGAAGTCGGTTTTTATTTTTTTGTTAAAAAGTTTTTATATTACCAACTGACTCTTGACCGACACTGTTTCAACACTACTGTAAGATTATATTGTTTAACCATTTAGAGATAAAAAATAAATAGGACTCTTATGTAATACTAAGCCTCGAGCTGCAGTGCACAAAATAAATCATAAAATATATGTAGACGAAACGTTCGAGCGCCATTTGCAAATTATTTCGTTGGCATGTAAATCTGCGCACGTAAATTTAGCCGCTGTCTGCGCACGGAAATTGAATTGTTCGAAACCATCCCAATACATTATAATATTTTATAAAATATGTTTTATTTCAAAACGATAAAATTATTACTTCCTATAATAAGAATATTTTTTAATTTTTAAACGTCTCGTAATATTGGCATCATAGAAGTTCATTTAAATTAATAGTAAGATGCTCGTCATTGTAAAGTTTATAGGTTTAAAATTAACAAAGTTAGGAAGTTAAAAATAAAAAATATTTATATGATGACAAAATATGTGTATAATATGTCAAAAGAGTACATATAATATGTGTTTTATATACATATGTTAGTTTAGTGTTGTGTCTATATGAAGTGGGGTGGCGGTGGCAATGTGGTGCTGTGTGCAAGGAGTGGAAGGCAGCGGGGATATTTCAATTTGGCCGGAGACGTGACCCGAGAGGCCGCGCGGCCGCCGCACGGCTCGCTGAACCGTAAGCCCGTTGCGGGCTCCGCCAAAGAGCAAACAGCGCCTCCGCAATCTTGTGCCACGTGGACCATGCCGAACACTCGACCACGACAATCTACTAGTACAATTACTCCTCTGCAGCGCACTCCTACAGATATAGAGGTGGTGCCCTCATCGCTCTTGCATTTAATATAATCGATTGCCCCAATACTCGAATTTGGATCTAATATTAAATCTATTCTCCTCTCACATTCGAGACAATACCGATTATGGAATTCGCAATATCGAAACGATGATATGTATAGTTTACATTGAGTATCGATGCGTTAAGCTATTCCTACTATTAGCAGGTACATACATATAATTAATATTTGACTAATCTAATATTTTACTAAACGTCATATGAATGAATAATATGTTTAACTAATAATAACATAGATTTGCTAACTAAAGCGTGTGCCCGCAGCAAAAATGAGGTATTGTATATTTAAAAACAACCAAAAATGCTGTATTTTTCCGAGTAAATAGATAGATACTTTATTATTAAAATAAATATTATTGAAATGGAAGCCTGAGATCCAATGTACTTTAACAAAAAGCCTTTGCATCTTCCTTAACGGTAAGCCTTAAGAGAATTAAGAATTATTTATTCACAAAATTCGTACCACTAAGCATTTAGAGTGAAGGCACATATTTGTGAAAACATAACTAACAAAGATAAATGTATAGTCCCCGAATGAATTACAAACTCTGTATAAGTGCTTTATGATGCTATTTTTAGCAAATGTTCATAATAAATACTGAAGCTGATGTAATATATGATCTTTTTTACTACACTTACTACTTTCAGTGACTTCTCGCTCGAGTATTTAGTATTTCGTAACTCCCCGCTGCTGAATATTACTCTGACATGTACAAGTATAAGAATCATAATGTGAAGGTCAAACTGTATTTCGGATCTAATTAAAAACTTTAAATGAACCCAAGCTGTGAACACAAATTGTGCAAAAAATCTTATAAATTTAAGGTAGTTGTAGTAGTGTCGTAGTGTGTAGTAATTTATTACATGTATTAATGATTAAATACAGTTAACTATAATAAGACAATCAAATTTAAACCAAAATTTAGCATTTCAGTCTTTTTATCTAAATTAGATTCAAGTATTTTATTGTTAAACGTACCTACCTATTACAATATGATCAAGTTCTCAGTCAAAGTGAATAATGATCAATTAGTCTTTATACTTAAAGTAACGAACTACCTGGTCGTCAGAATGACCGAAGTAAAGCAGTCAGGATTTCAGCAATAAGGGGTTTCCGTTAAGCCTTTGAGATTCTTTGCGAACGATAACGTAAAAAGAAATTCTATTTCTTTTAATTAAACAACAGTATCCTGAAAGAAACTAAGATAAAATGGAAAACGAAATTAATGATGATAATTTTGAGAACATTTGTGCTAATATTATAAGAAAAAACACACACACTTGTATAAATAAAATTAACATAAAACTTTAAATGGCAAATACTAAATAGTATTCGAAGATCATCTCTTCTATAACTGTAAATTCTCATGTTCGATAAGAGGAGGTGACAATAAAGAGGATTCTGCATCAGAACTATTGGAGTGAATAACAATGAATTTACGGGCGTCGTAAATTCAGCAGGTGTGCCTGTTTCTGAATACACCGGCGCTGGGAGACATTAATCGTCGCTTGGGTGTCGTGAATCAAAAATCTCATCGAAACATATAGCAGAGAACGTCTCTGTTTAAATGTCGAAGCAATACAGGCTATGAAATCATTTTTACATGTCCTTGTTATATATAAATAAATTCTAACGTATTCAACAATTTATCCATATCTAATATATAAAATTCTCATGTCACAGTGTTTGTAACAAAACTCCTCCGAAACGGCTTGACTGATTCTTATGAAATTTTGTGTGTATTTATTCAGTAGGTCTGAGAATAGGACGTAAACTATTTTTCATACGCCTTAGTGATATGGGTGGTCCACCCCAAATTTTTAGTTTTATTTTTTGGACAACATTTTTTATTTTATTTTTTTTATAATTCGGCATTAAAAATACATACAAACCTAAATTATTACCCTTCTACCACAAACCCCTATCTTTTATTAGCGATATTACATTATTTACAAAGTACTTACATTATTTTCTACACTCGGAAATGTATAATAACCGTTAAAACGTAATTCGCTAGTATTTTAATAAAATTTATTAGCAACCGTATTTTTTTCTTAGATTTAAGCGAATATTTGACATTTTAAATGAAACATTTTTTTCAGATTATTTTATACTAGCAGTGCCAGCGGCTTCTCCCGCTTTCTAACTACAACAAAAACTTTGGCTTTATAACTAACTAGCATTTTCCGCGGCTCCGCCCGCGTTCAGATTACTAAAACCCAAATTTTTAGGTTTTACATATTAGTATACTCTTACATTGCAGTTTTTGTATTTTTTCTCAGAAATGAGACATTTTCCCGCGGTAAACAGTATCCTATATATTGACCCGGATAACCAGCTATCACCATACCAAATTTCATCAAAATCCCTCCAGTGGTTTTTCTGTGATTCGATAACAGACAGACAGACAAAAATTTAAAAAACTATAGATTCAGCCTCTGTATCGATAATAATGTCCATTTCAATAAGATTTTCCAAAAAATATTTAATGTACAGATTCGGCTTAGTTACGATTTTATTATATGTATAGATAGCTAAAATCTTCATTAATTGCAATTTTCTGAATGCCTTGTTGTAATATATAATAATTATTATTTTGTGCTGAAATCTAAAGTTTGTTCTTGTTTTGTGGCAAACCATCATTATTATCTTTCATTTTCTTTCTAAGGCGGGTAACGAACTGTGTAATTGGGCCGGGAGACTTGGCCAGGCGCTAGCGAGATTTGGCGTACTCTCCGTTAATACTTTGAAATTCTCTCAAATACAAACGAGCAAATACTTATAGTAAAAAAGTAAGTTATATTATAAAGATAAAATAAATTATCATCTCGACATGTATGACAGACTACTAATACGAATACTGTGCCTGAGGGCCGCGTCTAAGTTTCATAAAACTTAAAAAAATCATGTCTCAGTTACATACATATATGGAGTGTGACCCCAATACTTTTAATTTAAAATTTCTGCAATGTAGCTCATATAGTCTCCGAATAAAACGGCCATGACAGAGATACAGACTGACAGAGACACATAACAAAATTATATATTAGGTAGATTTCACCATATAAACTTTTATCCCCATTTTCATCCTCTTAGGGATAATTTTCATAATAAAAAATATCCTATGCCCTTCCCAGTTTCAAACTATCTTCTTACCAAATTTCATCTAAATCAGTCCAGTAGTTTTTGAGTTTATTCGTTACAAACATACAAAAATAACAATTCTTTCTCTTTTTAATATTAGTGTAGATTCCGTTTTAGCCATTTGGCTATGGATCTCTAATAAAAACTTAAAAAAAACTACTTCCAGGCAATTAAATGTAAAAAATAACTAAACGGGGGTTTTCATTTAGAATAAATACCTAGGCAGATATTATTTGAAGTCGACAACCGACAATATTTTAAGATATGAATGTCTAATAGGTAAATATAATTTGGGATGAACTCCAATTATAGTTAAAATATTATAAGTACATCAATATGTGATATATTTTAGTATCGAAATATATTCGATTTGCTTTGCATCAGCTGGCACCGACTTCGAAAATATCTCATTAGGTATCTATTCCAAATGTAAACCCCCGTTTAGTTATTTTTACATGTTAGTGCCTGGATGTTTTTTTTTTATTTTTATTTTTCTATTTGTATTGTAATAAGCACGTAATTTGTAAGAAGAAAGTTTTTTAATAACATATTCGATTAAGCAATTTACTTAAAAAAAATATTTGTCGATTTTTTTAAAAAACCGCTTGACCGATTTCGATAAAATTTAAATGGGACCACCTGGCAAGTATGCCCTTCGAAACAAAAAAAACGACGAATTGAGAACGTCCTCCTTTTTGGAAGTCGGTTAAAAATGAAATTACTATTAAATATTACTAAATACATATTATTTAATAATATGTATTTAGTAAAAAGCTGTTATTTTGACATTACACAAGACTCTTAATTTTATTTATCTTTATTATAGGTAAAACTTGGTGTTATGATCATCTTCATAGAATGAAGCGATCACATTAACTCCTAGATTTATTAATCGTAGTGTTTTTCGTATAAATGTATCATGTATAAATAATAACCGCATTAATTATTTCTATAGAATTTGTATTCAATGTAGAAATAAATTGAAACGCAATCGTAAACTACAATATATTCCATGCTAATATAAACGCGCTGTCAGCATAGGCAGCCGGATCGAGGCGCGAACGCGAGAGACGAGAGCAGAGTAGCAATTTTTCTCTTGGCTGACAACATGATGTAACGCCAATATCGCTACGCTGAGCGATTAAGCCGCGTACGCCGATATTTCAGACTTGTCCCTACTAACTGTCAAAGTGTCGACAGAGGCTACACGTTATATTATACAAAACGAGACATTCAACTACATATTATTGATCGTGATATTTTCGGTCGAATGTTTTGTTAATATTGCAACATAAAAAAGTATGAGCGAAGTTATCTCGTCTACAAGGAGTCCGTCTTGTAATCATGGGACGGACTATAAAAAAGATATAAAATAGACTAATCTTGGAAAGGAACGTTCGTATCGCTTCAAAAAGATAGTTGGTAAGTCGGATCACGCAGGCAGGCAATCACTCGATAATAAATGTGAAGTAAAAGGAGAGCGACGTGAAGGTTCATGTGCTGCTGACGCGCGTTTCCTGTAGCACCAGCGCCGAGCCATGTACCGCAAAGTAACTAAGAAAATTACTTCTAATATATCTATACATATAATAAAATTCTAAGCCGAATCTGTACATTAAATATTTCATGGAAAATCTCATTGAAATAGACATTATTATCGATACTGAGGCCGAATCTATAGTTTTTAGAATTTTTGTCTGTGTGTCCGTCTGTCTGTTACAGCATCACGGAATAACCACTGGAGGGATTTTGATGAAATTTGGTGTGGTGATAGCTGATTATCCGGGTCAATATATAGGATACTTTTTACTGCGGAAAAATATCTCATTTCTGCTATACATAAAC